CGAAAATCCGAAATTTCATAAAACACAATCCGTATTCAATCCGAAAATCCGAAATTTGAAATCCGAAAATCCGAAATAGAGTGGATCGGATCGGATTTCGGATATCCGATCCAAATGCACAGCCCTAGCCTTCACGCTATGGCCTTTTTATCGTTACTTAAGTATTGTCTTTTAACTTACTGTGTACTGTAGGTACCTAGGCCGGAGTAGGTCATGATAATCCTCGCTATCCCGCCCCTTAGGCTGAGTTTTAGCTGGGTCGGCTACTGTGGACAAATTTTGACCTATACACTTTTTATTTCCTGTTCCGTCCTTGTTATCCATTAATTACTAATTAAACAAAGTTGAATAGTTCATAAAGCACTGACCTTTGGGGTGAGGAGGCAGAACAAACAAACAATAATTACCTATGGATCGATTGTATGAATTCTTATTGGTCATTGTCGGTTCGTATAAGTTTCGTCTCTATTTAATATTATATCAAAACAAATATTAAAAATAGGACGAATTTGTGAGCTAAGTAGTACTAGTAGGTGCTGAATTTCCAAATTGTGAGCTGTTACTTATGACTTTTCCAATTTAGGACCTTCTTGTCTAAGTTTTCAAAATTTGTTTATTTTGATGATATATAGGAGACCATCTCATCCTAATTTTCTTATGTTGGATAATTTTTTCTCTAAAATTTAATCTAATTCTACTGCTAATTAGGATAATATATTTTTTTCTAAGAACTTGACCAAAATCTTTAATTCTTTAAAATAAATATTTTTCTAAAAAAAAAAAAAAACACACTTCTAATTTTTCGCTTGGCCTAATAAACTATTAGAAAAAGTTTAAAAAATCAATCTGTAAAAAATAATTTACTTTTTCTAACAACAACAACAACAATCTAGTGGGATCCCATTAGTGGGGTCTGAGGAGAGTAGATTGTATGCAAATCTTACCCCTACTTTCAAGATAGTAGAAATACTGTTTTCGATAGACTCTACGCTCGCAAAAGATAAAAAGAAGAATAACAACAAGCATATCAATCAGAAAATCTGAGTAAAAATACACAATTAACAGTAAGTACTGTAATTAGAAAGCTTGAAGGAAAGCAACAACCAGACGTCAAGGGATAGACTCCTGTTTTTCTAACATCGGAGCAAAATGTTGTTCAAAAACTAAAATAATATCAGCTTAAATTTTTCCAAAACCTACCAAAAATTTGCAGAACCTTTTTTTTAAAAGGCTGATATTTATTTATTTATTTTTGGAAAAAACTTAATTCAAAACACCAAACCAAGTAGTAGGAGGATATAGCGTGAGACACCTACCACCACACCAAACCCATTGGACCCCACAATCCTACGTACAGCCAAATAAAACTCACCTAACACTCACAATTCAAAAGGGGTCTTTTAACTACGTACTTTACTTGCCTTAACCAGACGCCATTCGCAGCCAAATCCACCTATCTCTCCTCTTTCTTCATTTCCACTCTTTGTAATGGAAGCCCAATTGTTAAAACTCCCTTCTCCTTCCTTAACAAGTACCAATTCTTCAAAACACAGTACCCTTTTACCCCGTCAAAAATGGTCAAATTTTTGTAAGTTTCAATTACCCAATTCAACTAGTACCATTACTATTCGTCCCCTTCAAGCTTCTGCTACTTCTCTTGGGTAAAAAAGCTACAATCTTTACTCCTTTAACTTCCTTTTTCTACTTTTATTTTTGAAGCATCATGTGCACTTTATAGGGGAATGCGTTCTTGAAATATTTAAATCTTTATTAGCTCTGCATGTGTTTAGGTTAATGCCTCAGTGAATTTAATTTCTGGGTTCTGCTTTTTGCAAGCTTCCCATATGAAATCACCTTGATGAAGCTTCAATTTTTTTTTCTTAACTTCCAATTCTACTTTGTTATTTGAAGGATCATGTACAATTTAGAGGAACACGTTCTTGAAAAATTCAATGTTTAAATGCTCTGCAATGCGTTTAGGTTAATGCCACAGTGAATTTATGTTCTGGGTTCTGCTATTTTTGCATGCTTTCTATCAAATTTACCTAGATGTTTGCGTAGTTTTGTAAGGCTATTTCACATTAGGGTGTTGAAATTTGCTTAACAGTGGAATCTAAACTTTTATGCTACTGAATTGGGATATTCACTTCCTTTTTCCCTTCTTAGGTTACGCTTTGCGCTGACATCTTTGTTTCGTCCATGTGTTAGTTCCATTAAAATTCGTGAGTTTTGGCGCACTATGCCAATTGTCTCGTGAGTTATTCTTAAATTTTGATTTTGAAGTGTTTATAATCACGTTTATGGTTGCTCAATCAAAAATTTCCCTTATCGGTTTGATTTGACCAGCATTTCTACTATTGCCATGGTTTTGCTGCAATTGGTAGCAATGGTTTTAATTGATCCACTTTCCCCGACATGACCTGGATCAATAGAGAAATCCCAATTCATTGAGCCTTCTTAATAATTTATGTTATCTACATTAGCAATGCAAGAAAAGTCCCCAGTGAATGTGAAGCTTTTGAATCATTATCAGGCTTATCCCGTGATGTAGTCAACCGTTTCCCAGTCTTCCTCCTTTGTTGTGTGTTTTCTTGGAAAATACATAGCATGCTGGAGACATGGCGCAAACTTGTGTGCCTAATTGTTGGAGCCTTTGGGCCACATAGTTGTAAACATTAGAATTATTAGACATCTAAATGGAGTTCAACCTTCGATCACTAAGTTTTTCCAATAATAGGTTGTTAAAAACATAAATAATAAAGGAGGAAGATGAAAATGATATTGAATGTGGCAGATAAGCTGGATATCTAAGGAACATAAGATCAAGTTGCCTCCAGGCATAAAAGTCATACTGTCTATTAGGGAAATTGAAACAATCAGGCATCTCAAATTGATAAAAGTCAGGCTTTTATTAAGAAGATATTCCTTTCATCCGAGTGTCAAGGCTTGCAAGTAGTAGAGTGGATTATGCGATAAGTAAAAGGACTTTCAAGCACCTTCAAAAGATTTAATGAAAAATTGCATCCAAAGGCAGAGGTGAAGCCAGGATTTGAAGTTTATGGGTTCAAAAATTTAATTATTTTGAGCTACTGGGTTCTAAATCAACAATTTATAAATATTTAATTGATTTTTTAACACAAATGCAGGGTTTGAACCAAAATTACTGGGTTAACCCGTAACTTATACATTGGCTCCGCCCCTGTCCAAAGGTGTGTCCTATTGGTCAATGAAATGGGCTGAGAACATAAGCTCCAGGTTCAAATCCCACCATAGGCAAAAAACTAGATGATTTCTTCCAATCTGTTCAAGTCTTGGTGGACAGAGTTACCTGGTACCTGTTAGTTGCTGGTGGGAGGTAGCAGGTATCCTGTAGAATTAGACTAAGTCCACGCAAGTTGGCTCAGACAACACGGTTATTAAAAAAAAGATTTAATGAAGAAATCCCCTTTAAGCTAAATGAAAATATTGTAGCATATTTGAGGACAACAGTGAAAATCTTCGTTCTGCTCATCTCTAGGTTGCACTGTGCTGAATGAGATTGTGGCATTGTGTCTTGCATCTTTAAGAAATGTCTTTTTGTAGTGTGGTGAGATGGACATGGGTGGGCATTACCTAATTTCATATTAAACAGCTCTAATGCTTTGCTTACAACTCAGGAAATAAGTATTGTGATGTGTCTTGCTTTGTTTCCAGACTTGGGCCAAAGAAGAGAATAGATGAGACGGAGAGTTACACTCTTGATGGTATAAGGAACTCTTTAATTCGACAAGAAGATAGCATAATATTCAGCCTTGTGGAGAGAGCTCAGTACTGTTACAATGCGGAGACATATGATCCTGATGTTTTTTTGATGGATGGGTTTCATGGCTCTTTGGTTGAATATATTGTCAAAGAAACTGAAAAGCTTCATGCTAAGGTATTCTCATTCTAAGCATGCATGTATAGGAGTGTCTCTTTTCTTTGCATATTTTTCTGATTGATAGCTTTATAGGTTGGAAGATATAAAAGCCCTGATGAGCACCCATTCTTCCCAAAAGAATTACCCGAGCCAATGTTGCCACCCATGCAGTTCCCAAAGGTGCAGTATTCGTCACAATCTGATGTGCTGTTTTTTTCGATATGGAATTTGATAATTCATATACACATTTCTGTTTTCTATATTGTAATCATCAGATATTAGATATCTAGAATGATGCACTGGATGCTAATTTATGCTGTGAAAAGCTAGAGAAATTTCTTTCCTATCTACGCATGTACAGACTGCAGGGACATACCCAGAAATGGATGCTTCCTCTGCCCTCTGTGTAGGCTGTGTTGGTTCCTGTTAATTGGAAGGACCTATACAGTTGTCCTAGACTTAGGATTTTTTTTGTTTCGAATGTAGGATCATAAGTTGTGTATTGTTTCCTTACCCTTTTCATCAATTTACTGCTCTTATTTAGGCCATCCTCTCATGAGTAAAACATTTTATTTATTTGTAAAGGTTCTGCATTCAGTTGCTGATTCAATAAATATCAATGTCAAAATATGGGAAATGTATTTCAAGAATCTCCTCCCAAGATTAGTAAAGGAAGGCGACGATGGTAATTTTGGATCTACAGCAGTTTGTGACACTATTTGCTTGCAGGTATGTGTTATTAAGCTCTGTCTCATTAGAGCTAGCTTGAGATTAGGCACTGGAAATTATATTGCTTTCCGTGGCTATTCTTGTTGACATTTTATATATTTGCAAATCCTTCTGTCCCCTAACTGGCCTCGATCTTTGCTTTATCGAGTCCTTTCCTTAGACCAAAAACATCAGCATAACTCTGTGAAATCTTCTGTCCAAATAGCCAGTGTCTTTTAGGGCAATAGGAACTATGCTGTTAGAAGATGAACTCAAGGCCTTGAAATAAGTGTCACCGTGGTAGAAGAATGATCATTCCGATTCCAAACAATATCTCAAAATTTAATGCTGATTTGATGATAGGATTCCAGATAGATTGTGAATAGCTTTTCATATCCCCTCCCATCGACAATGTGTTTCACTTTAGTTCCCGTTTTATACCATATTTCTCTGTTACAAGTGAACNGTGGGGGTGGGGGGTGGGGGACTGGGGAGTATGTTTGGGTGCATCTCGAGATTTCATCGAGTACTTGCATCCTCCCACCAGTACAAGTATTGGGTAACTTTGAGCAACAACACTTAGGTAGATGAAAAGAGATCACCGAGCTATTTTGCCTCTGCTGGAATCCGAGTCCCATTGTCCCATGTTTGTCATTCCAGCTTCATCGACCGCTGGGCCATACCTTTGAGTGCACCATATCTGGGAGCAGCAGTTCATATTTTTGATTTATTGTCTGATTAGGGTGCAACTAGCTGGAAAATCAAACTATACCTTCTGGGTTAGCTTTATTGGACTTATATTTCTAAGCTTAAGCTCAATCTAGTTGAATTTCCTCTATTGTACTCAGAATTTAATAGGAATAATATGCTCAAGCTTTGCTTGCCATGCCAAGACCACCACAGAGTTTCAATCCTCTAAAGGTCTTGATTATTTTTTATTCTTTTTGTGATATAGATTTCAAATAAGACTTAACATATTTAGGACTGTTTTGGATTATCAAAATCATTTTTCCCTATTTAAGCAAGTGATTAGTTGAGAATTAAGTAAAATAATCAATTATTTAGAATTTACTGATTGCTGGAACCCTATATGCAGGCCCTGTCGAAGAGAATTCATTATGGGAAATTTGTCGCTGAAGCAAAATTTCGAGCCTCACCAGATGTCTATAAGGCTGCCATAAGAGCACAAGTAATCCATTTCCTAATATGCTCACTTATGCTTAATTTCTCTGCTTCGTGAATTGTGTTAAAAATACGCAAAGAGCACTTATATTGTTATTTTGTGATGGCTATCATTCTCCAGGACAGAAACGGACTGATGGATTTGTTAACCTACCCTACTGTTGAAGAGGCTATCACGAGGAGGGTAGAAATGAAAACCAGAACTTACGGACAAGAATTTAACATCAATGGACCGGAAAATGGAGGTGACCCAGTGTACAAAATAAAACCAAGCCTAGTTGCTGAATTGTACGGCGACTGGATCATGCCATTGACAAAGGAAGTTCAAGTTGAGTATCTCCTGAGAAGACTGGATTAGAAAGAAAAAGAAAACATCTGATGGAAGTCATGTAACTTATACTAGTATTGAATTATATGCACAAATATTATATTGTTCCACCAGAGATGGACATCTGTCGATGCAGATGCCGATAAATATGTGGTGGTTTTCGGATTTGGGACTCGGTTTCTTACAGTGATTTCTTGCATTGTAAATGAACATTGATCTGGGAAAGACTACACTGTGATTCTTTGCCTAAGAATATGTCGATAACTTGTTGTAATTTATGATTTATAGTCCTTGAAAACGTAGAAGAGAGATGTAATTTTGCGATATGAACGTTATAAGCTGGTCTTTTCCAATGAATTCCCATGTTGTTTCTGTCAGTGCTTTTGCACACTCTACTTTTCCAGATGTGTTTAAAGGTTTCAAATTCTTTTTGACTGCTACCTGAGAAACCGTTCTGTTTTGACCAAAGCCTTGCTGCTATTTTCGTCTTGTGACTTTATAAGTCTCCAAAAGCCAATAAGAGTTTGCATCCATCACTAGCAGTCCGGAGGTGTCAAATTAAAAAAAAAAGAAGAAAAAAACAGTCAGGTGCACTAAGCTTCCCTTATGTGCGGGATCCGGGGAAGGGTCCGACTTTAAGGGTCTAGTTCGAACCCGTGATCTCCTGGTCACATGGCAGTAACTTTATCAGTTACGCGAATGATGACCTACCTGAAGTGTCAAATTTAGTTTTTGTTTTAAAAAGTAACTGAATTTACCTATTTGAACATGAATATAGTGTCAATTTAAACCGTCAAAAAATTTGAGTTATTTTGAACTACGCGAATAAGCCCAATCAATAAAAAAATACTCTTTGTTTACTTTTATTTGTTTAGCATAATAAAAATGTATTTTCACTTTTACTTGTCTTTAGCAAATCAAGAGAAATTTAATCTTTTTCCGTTTTAACCTTATCATTACCTATTCATTTGCCAAGACTTTTTAAAATACTATCATTACTATGAGTATTATAGTAAAATATGTACTTTATTTATTATTTCTTAATGGGAGTGCAAAGTCTATTGTAAACCAGTAAAAATGAACTGAGGAAGAAATGAAACGCTTACTTATTTCTGGGTTTAACTTCTATAGCATCAGACAAAACGCTTCTCCAACTAGAAAAATACTAGTATATCTTTACATTTCTTTTTTTATTTTCTTTCGAGAAAAGTTTGAAACGTTATTTTACTGATGTATTTCTAATATTTTATTTTTGATATGCATGTGCATTGAGCGCGTCATTCTTTCTGTTTCAATTATATACTTGTACATTTAATCATAAAAAATAATTCTGGTTGGGGGTGGTTGCAAATGCAAGCCATAAATCTCGGGCCAGAAATGCCAAGCTGGATATGTTTGTTGAGAAATTTTGATTTTTACAGAGCAGGAATCAATCTCAAACGTATCAGCAACGCTAAAATTTAGAAAGATATAGGCTGTACGCCAAAATATTTAAATTTTATCCAATTTTCGACCAGCAAATGCTTTTAATTTCTGTGGACCGATTAATTTTCTATTTGACGCTTTTTTTTTTGGGAAGGAGAAAAAAGCCACATTTGCAATTTGTAACATTTAATGGGATAGAGACTGATATAGAGACCGAAACATCTGCAAAGAACAATCTAGGTTCTAAATACTTTAATAATGAGTTAAATTTTATCTGCTGATAATATAAGATTTTAATACTACTCATTTTTCTAAAAAGTCAACCGTAGATGAATCTCAACAGTAAGTTTGCGTTGGCAATTTAAAAAATAAATATTTAATATGTCATAACATGTTAACTTATACTAATATTAAAATTTTATATTTTCATTGAATAGGAGTATAATTTAATCTCATATATATTATTTTTTAGTTATTGGAAAATTTAAATACAACAACAACAACAACAACAACAACAACCCAGTGGAATCGCACAAGTGGGATCTGGGGAGGGTAATATGTACGCAGACCTTACCTCTACCCCGAGGGACAGAGAGGCTGTTTCCAGGAGACCCTCGGCTCAAGAAGGCAACAAGAGACACTATATTAGTACTATCAATAGACTCATAATAAAATAACATAAAATACCATAAAATCCATAACATAACATAAATACCATAAAATAACAAAGTAACAGCAATATAAGATATATAGGAAATACGAGAAAGATGTAAGGTATACTAATAAACAACAGATAAAGCCCATCATTAGTAGCTGATCAATAGCATCCTAAGACTAATTCCTAACTGACTAGTCTCACTCTAGTGCGCTGTAAAAAAATAATAATCACAATTTCCCCTAACCTACAACCTTAATGCTCGATCTCCATAATTCCCTGTTTAGGGCCATGTCCTCAGTAATCCTACGTCGCGTCATATCCTGCCTGATCACCTCTCCCCAATACTTCTTAGGTCTCCCTCTACCTCTCCTCGTACTCACCACAGCTAGTCGCTCACACCTTCTCACCGGTGCATCAGTGTTCCTCCTCTGAATGTGCCCGAACCATCTGAGTCTTGCTTCCCGCATCTTGTCCTCCATGGGGGTCACACCCACCTTCTCTCGAATATCTTCATTTCTAATCTTATCCTTCCTTGTATGCCCGCACATCCACCTCAACATCCTCATCTCTGCAACTTTCATCCTCTGGATGTGTGAGATCTTCACCGGCCAACACTCGGTCCC